CCCCTCGTCTCTTGAAGACTTTAAAGCAATTAACAACGACGGGTGACCCTGTCCAATCACAGAAGGTCTCCCCCCCACCCCACGCCCCCCCCCCCCCCCCATGCCATATCGTACTTCGCCAAGCCGGTTGGTAAGCGCTTCATGAAGGTTGGGACCCAGGACCGCTTGAGATGTCGCTCAGTCACTGATGTTAAGCCGCGGCCGGCGATTGAACCCAGGTTGCAGGCTTCAGAGCGCAGTGCACGAAGCCAATACACTGCCGCTACCAGCTGGCTTGAACGCCTGAATGTAAAATTGTCGTTGTTGCTCTATGTCTACAGCAGCAGCCGTAAGACAGCAGAAAGAAGAAGTCCAGTACAAACACAGACAGACGCACAAGCACAGGCCCACAAATAAAAACACATCATAGGCGCAGACAAATGACCAACACCCGCACATGCACGGACACAAACAGACATGGCGCAAGCACACACATACAATCGTACACAATCGCACAAACTCACACACAAATACACAACAAACCCAACCACACATACACCCACTCAAATAAAAAAAGTATTCCCGTATAGCCTGTTGTGGTAAGTATTGTCAACACTAAGATGCAACACACATACATAGATGTACATCCCCATATAGCCTTGGACAGTGCTGTTAGTGAGCATCTATGAAGGCCAGCACGGCACACGAGGGGGTGGGTGGCCACCACCACACCTAGCCACCTCTATCTACCAAGTGCTGAAGTTTACACACCGCACCAGATACTCATTATTAAAGCTGGTCAAACCGAGGAGAGCCCCAGGACCGGTTCAAGCATTCATCGCCGATGTTGGCCATGAGCGGGAGTCGAACTCGAGTTGCTGTGTTCGTAGAGCAGCGCGTTAACCATTGTGCCACTCCTCTCCACAAATCCATGTATGATGAACTTCTTTGGCGCCGTACGTAGCCAACCTTGCTAATCGGAGGTGCGGGAAATACCGACGCACGTGCTCACTCGCACACTGGCGCACACACACACGACCGGCCACTTGCACAAAGAAGCCGGCCGGCAGATGAGTTTCTCTACCCGGGGGGGTCACCGTCTCAAAGATAGCCGGGCGAGGCAATCCAAGAGAAAGCGTTGCACGCACTGCCCCGGTGAGAAGGGCAGCGAGAGAGAGCGTCGCACGCACTGCCCCGGTGAGAGGGGCAGCGAGAGAGAGCGTCGCTCGTGCTGCCCCGGTGAGAGAGAGAGCGTCGCCCTCGCTGCCCCGGTGAGAGGGGCAGCAAGAGAGAGCGTCGCCCTCCCTGCCCCGTTGAGGGGGCAGCGAGAGAGAGCGTCCCTCTCGCTGCCCCGGTGAGAGAGAGAGAGAGAGCGTCGCCCTCGCTGCCCCGGTGAGAGAGAGAGAGAGAGCGTCGCCCTCGCTGCCCTGGTGAGAGGGGCAGCAAGAGAGAGAGTCGCCCTCGCTGCCCCGGTGAGAGGGGCAGCGCCGTCCCTCGCCGCGGTGGTCACACCCAGGCGCCCGCACCCAACGGGGATCGGCGGTTTCAGGGCGGAATTAAAAAAAAGCGAGCAACTCTCTCTCTCTCTCGCTCTCCCGGGAAAGCCGTAAATATTGACCGGTTTTCTCCGCAGCGGGGTTAAACTCGCCGGGTCCTGAATGATAATGGAGTTCTTGACAGGCCACGCGGCGGGGCGAGCTTTGCCCGTGAACCCAAATCTCCACGTGCGTCACCACCACCACCGCTACCACCACCACCACCATCACGATCATCATCGTAAAGTTCACCGTCGTCGGCCATGATCAATCCACTGCTGGATAAACGCCTCCACCCCAGGCCGTCGCCATCTCCTCGCGGTGCCGCCATGCGACATGCGCCTGCGGTGCGAGCCTATTTCATCGCTCCATCTCCGCAGCGGACGCGGGGCCCTCGACTCTCCCGACGCGTTCCATTCCTCCGGCTGCTACTCCGCCGCTATTATTCTCGACCGCGGGTCATCGTGCCCCCACCCCGGCCGTCACGTGTCCGGGCCCGATCCCGCGAGCTAGCTTCAACGACATCCTTCACCTGCGACATGTTTCTAATCTCCAACCCGCGTGCCCCCCTCTCTGAATGTACACCGGAGCATGCACACCTGGGATATTTCATCCGAGGCATTTAGAACGTCGTATAAAACTACAGCAATGCCCTGCGCAATGTCAGAAACTGATACGCCAATTCTCACACTCTCTTATTAAGGATTCTACGCTCATCAGACAGAATAATGCATGCAGGCTGGAAACAAATAAGCATAATTAACGGAAGGCGATTTTATAGATGGCACAAGTATGGTGATGTCACGTGACGCGCAAGGCATGATGGGGGGGACCGATTAGCGTTTATTCTCACCGGACACTGCGTGGTTTTGAGAATAGGCCACATCGTGGCAACTGAGAAAATATTCGCGGATTTGGTCTTACAGTGGAGAAGGTGGCGGAGATCGTGCGGTCACCACCGTACCACCGCCAACTCCTGCACCGAGCCAGAGCAAAGAAGCGTGGCCTAACCCCCCACTCCAACAACCCCACACGGCGTCGTTGAGAGAGGCCCTCATCCAGCAGTGGAGTGACAATAGGGCGATGGGTGTACGTGGGGACAGCAGGAGCCCCCCGCCCCTCCCCCGCCCTGAGCCACACATCCGCCGCGTGCGTGAGAGAGAAAGTCCGCCGAGGTCGGAGGTCGTGGCTGACCGGCGCGCCCGGGGGGAAGTTCTAGATCGTCGCGCTCATCTCCGTTTTACGCTTCGTGGCTTTTTTTTTTTTGACAAAGGATGCCACCCTCCACCCCAGATCATTCACCCCCGCGGTGTCTGGCACGCGATCCTCACTGGGGAGAGTTGAGTCGAGTTATTTTTTTAAAATCAGACATTAAGAGCGCTGGCTATGCCTATTCGCCGTCAGTCCCCGCGATAAAATCGGAAGTAAAAATGCGAACGCAAGCGATGCCGTGGCTCTTCTTTGGAATTTGTTGCAAAGCCACGACGATCGATGGCGTCGGTAAAGGCGCAGACCTGCAACTGCTCGCTCACGCCACTGTCAGCAGAAGGGCCCTCTGCTAGAGGGAGCTCCATAAAGCCTCTCGAAATGTACTCGCGTACACGTTACTACTTTCAGCGGGTATTTTATTATCCTTCGTCAATATTTTTGGTTTTCGACCGTTTTTTTGCTCGGAGTAAAGGAAGAGCCCTGCATGTGCCTTTCCCACACCACTGCTGGCGGAAGTGACCTCCTCTCGAGAGGCAGCTCTAGAAAGTATCCCTCGAGGGTAGTTTGTGGCCTGGGTACTCAGAAGAGACAGGAGTAGCCACACTGAATCCCAGCACTCACGGACCTGCCGGTCGACCAACCGCAGTCTGCACCCACTGGGCGGACGGTGGTGCGGATGAGGTGATTGAAAGAATGTCCCATTGTTTGGTAAAGTTGAAAAACGAACAATTACTTACATCGCTTAGCTTCATCAAACGTTTGGGGCGACTGCGATCGTGAAGGCTTCCACCCCGCCACGAGGTTTACGCAAAAAAAGTGGACGTCAGCAGCAGCCTTGTTTTCACGGAGGCCACGTGGTGGGAAAGCAAAGTGTGGGTTTCAAGCGCTGCAAGGAACGGTGGCCAAGCCTACTAAGTGTCGACGGAGGGGCAGCTCAAGCGGGGAGAGCGCGCTCGGGAGATGGAGAGACGAAATCGGCTTGCGTTGCAGGCGCTCCGGATTGTTACATTGCGGGGCCCTATCTTTACGAAACAATTTGGTTTTATTTTACCAGGTGTAAGCGCCCCACTGAGCTGTGTAGCTCTTTTTCAGAAGCGACCTGGCCAACACAAATGATAGCTCAGGCAAAGTGGCTTATCATCACGTGCAAATGTGTAGCAGCCAAATACTTGAAACGCAAGTTTTTAAATGTGGAGGGGAAAAAAAACCGGAGGACCCTGAGAAAAATGTACGCGAACACGGGGAGAACATGCAGACACAAAATATACAGCAGGCGCCCAGGTCGGGATCGAACCCACGACCTCCTGTATACCAGGCGAGGGAGTTAACATCTCACCACTACGGTGCCCGAGACGGTGACGGCTTGGGGAGGCCTGCATCCAGCAGTGGATTGACCATGACCCATGATGATAATAATAATGATGGTGCAATATGTACAATGTTTTAGCCCACCAAAAACCATTACAAACGCAAAGGGTGAAGAAAACACAAAAGGGAACTTATAAAGTAGATTCCACGCTCGCCGACAGCTTTGCTCGAGATATGAATGCCCTCCCCCCACCATGACAGGAACAATTCAAACAAGAATAAGCTTCAAGCCTATATTGGGCCAATTCTGTCATCGCACCTGCACAAAATATTCACGTGATATATACTAATTGCGCCGACATCAGGGGTCACTGTTAAAATAAAATCTAATAAGTGTGAATTTGCACGCTTTTAATAGCCCATTCTGGTGTATATTTGCGCGTGTGTGTGCGCGTGCGGTGTGCATGCGTGTGCGTGCACCAATTAATTGACCTGTGCGGCACCTGGGATCCCGATTCACGTGTCGTTGCTGGCAAATATTCCCCCCGCCACCCCCCACCCCCCCCCCCCCAGTTTCATCCGAATTTTTGGCAAAAGCGCGCCGGTGAGACCCGCCGCATTGGCGAAGCGGGGAGGAACGCAGAGCAGGTGCGGCTATCGAAAGTGCGTAGGCGGTGCAACTGCACCGAGGGCCCTCGGAGGGGCCGAAGGAACCCCTGGGATGCCACGCTCCTCGTAGAGGGGGTGCAACTTGAATAAGGATCCCTGACAGTTCGTTAGGCAACGTTGCAACCAGGACCCCGCGCAAAGCCCAACGATGCCACTGCCGAGTCGGCAAAGGTATTGGCGAGTTAGCAGGCGGACGAGCGAACGGGTGGGCAGGTGGGTGAGTGGACGAGTGAGTGAGCGGGCGGACGAGCGAGTGAGCGGGTGGGTGAGCAAACAGGGTGGGTGGTGGATGCTACTCACTGGGCGACGTCGGGGAGGGCGTGCCTCCGTCGCTGCTCGTGCTGATGGGCTTCGTATCGGTCACCGACATGGGCAGGGGCACGGGCCTCGGCATCGGCGGTGGAGGGGGCGGCAGCATGGACGTCGGGAAGAGTGCGGACGTCACCTTGGCTTGGCCCCCACCGCCGGGCTAAAGTTCGGGGGGGGGGGGGGGGGAGGGAGAGAGGGGCGATCGATGGATAAAGGCAGATCAGAATCAGAATTATTTTTTCAGATCAAAATATTTATTTATACTGTAGGGATCCGATGAGCTATGAAGCTCTTCTTCGCAGATGCGCCAGTAAGGACACGGGGTAAAGATGTCACAACAACAAACAGTACAACAAGACGACATGGCAGTGCAGAGTACGGTAAAGGCAAACAAATCACCCAAACACATACAAGTAAAATTAAACCATCACCATCCTACCAGGCAAAGCCCACCGAGGTATTCAATTATTTTTCACAAGCGACCTGGCCACTAATGATAGCTCAACAAAGTGGCTTATCGCGCGGGAAATTTACAGCAGCAAAATGAGGTAGATGGAGATGGACAGGCAAGCAGCGGCTTTACAAGCCGACAGGCAGAAGGACAAATGAGCGAGGCGGATGAAAGGGTGGACGGAGAGACGGACAAGGAAGTTGGGTACGGTCGGCAGATAGCCAGAGAGGCAGACGCACGCAAGGCGCGCGTAGAAAAGGGACACGGGTTTACACGGACCGGTTGACTTGAGAATGCACACGCGCATACTCAATGCTGACTCTGTAGCGGATAAGGCATTCTCTAAACCAGGAGGTATGGCCTAGGGATGTACAATTAAAAGATTTAGAGCATCCACAACTCTGTTGCCACTTTTGAGTGGCAAACCCCCAGCGCATGTCACAGAAATCGGAATATCTCGTCACATCCGGCCTTAGCGGCTAGACAACAGAGTGGCTCGCGATCCGAAGTTCGCAAGTTCAAGTCCTGGGTTGGGGTTGCCACAGTCCATCATCCCGCTGGGGGTTGATAAAGCGAGTACCAATTTGTTGGGGAAGTTGACGTGCCCCCTGCCATTGGGATGTGCAAATTACCACCACAGCAGCAGGAAGTCACTTTGAATTGTATTGTTTGTCTGGAAGACGGGGTTAGCTGCAGGTGAATACACGCTTTGTCTCGAGTGGTGTGTGTATGCGGGCAAAGGGGAAATTCTGATATAACCACACTACGTTGAATATAAGCACACACACGTGGCCTTACTCCCAAGGGGTGTTTCTGTATCCAGCTTCTCCTGTGCACATTTAGGTGGGAAGCAGGGAGGGGGGCAAACCGGATATTTGTGCAGAGCTCCACAAACTCCAGAGGGGCCCCATGATAAAAAAAAACATGTTATATTAAGAAAACTAGTACTGTTTATTCCTGTTATCAATTCAATGGGAGAAATATAAACACTACGACGATTATTCGTTGCTGGTTTATACGATTGTCTCAATTCCATCCTCGAGTTGTCTCCGGCCAGCGGCAAATATTCTCCTGCCCCCGCGCTTCCGATTAGCAGGTAAGTAAGTGTGTTGAATTTCTCCCATTGAATTGATAATAGGAATGAACAGGACTTGTTTTCTTTATATAACATGTTTTTTTTTATCATGGGCCCCTTTGTGGAGTTTTTGAAGCTCTGAACAAATATTCGGAAGTCGCGTGCGTACACATGCGCACGTACACATACGCACGTACACATACGTACGTGTGTGTACGTACACATACGTACGTGTGTGTACGTACACATACGCATGTACACAAAGATCCAAAGATCCCCCGTATAGCCTTAACAGACTGTAGGGGCAAGTGCTGTTAGCGAGCACCTATGAAGGCCGGCACGGCACACGGGGGGGTGGGTGGCCAACACCACGCCCGACCGCCTTTGTCTCCCCAGTGGCGATGTTTACACACCGCACCAGGTACTCATTTAAGGCTGAGTCGACCTAGGGGAGGCCCAGGACCGGTTCAGATAATCGTCACTGGTGTTAGCCGTGAGCGGGAATCGAACCCGGGTCGCCAGGTTCATAGCGCAGCGCGCTAACCGCTACACCACCGCTCCCCATAACACATACGTACGTGTGTGTACGTACACATACGCACGTACACGTGCGTATACATACGCACGTACACATACGCACGTACACATACGCACGTACACATACGTATGTGTGTGTACGTACACATACGCACGTACACATACACACACACACGTACGTACACATACGCACGTACACACGTACGTACGTGCGTTGCGGGCTCTGCGATTTTGCACTGGGGGGGGCGTCACGCGCACGTCCGATGCAAAGACAGCAACGGGGAGCGGGCAGCACTTACTTTAATATGAACGTCACGTGGAGGGAATGCTGGCGCGTGCGTCGGGCATGTGAATTGGAGATTGAATCTTTTGCAGACGTGGTCGAAACTCAATTACCATTCACATGCGCGGCCAAATAATCAATGGATCGCGAGGCGGAGGTCACACGCGGCAAAAAAAAATACCGCCCCGCGCCTGAGGCATTGTTTATTAGTGTACTCGATAAAGTGAAGGCTGTTAATCCTGAATGCCTCACCGCTTTTTGCTATTGTTATAGTCGTCGCTTTGTTAATTGTAAATTAACCTAAGGATTGACACTTCCCCCCCCCCCCCCACGCGTGTACATTAGAGAATTACATTTTATCGGCCTAGTTAATAATAAAAAATGCAGCCTATCACGATTGCACTTGTTTCATTGACATCAATCCCATTTGTCTATGCCGCAGGAGTGGTGGGATGGCACGTGCAAAACATTTGCAGTTCGGGGCCAGGCATAAGCAATTGAAATCAAAAGTTACGTATATATTGGTCTCTTTTGTTTTACCAATTCGTTCCAAATTCTGCCATCGGCACCATGCCACGGTACAAAGAATCCGTTAGGGAATCTCTTTCACGGAACTTCTCCCAAAAAGTCCTTCAAGTCAACGCTTTGTCCTCTGTGCAGCAAGGGGGTGCAGTTTCCCACACACTCCGCTACGAGACTGGTCATCACGTGACAGCCAATATTCTTTGTAATTCTCACAGCTGGCAATTATGCAATTTAATTTGTAAAACGAATGTTTGTGTGAAATAATTTACTAACCAGCCTGAGACCATGTCACCACACCTCTCTATTTTAGGCAGAATGTCTCTCTCATCTCATTAGTTCTCGATCTCTTGCGTCACCTCGCTGCGACTTTATAAAAGGGCCCCCCCCAGGGACCCCCCCCCCCCCCGCCCAATCCAAAATAATTTCTGCTCCAATGGGGCCTAGCACCAGCACCGCTGGCCCCACCAGGCAACGCCGGCGACGCTCAACGGAGGGTGGTGGCGATGGCGGCGTTGGTGGCGGTGTTGGTGCAGGGTGGGTGGGGAGGTGAGGGGTGGGGTGGGTATGACGTTGCCTCGCAGTGAAACGTGAAGCCCTGCGCGTGTTTCAGTGTGTAAGCCGACACGTGCGAGCGTTGGCGGTGAGGGCTGCCGAACCGCCGCTGCTGCTGCCGGCGGCCGGCAGTGGTGGTGGTGGAGGAGGAGGAGGGTGAGCGAGTGACCGAGATCAATTGAAACCACTTGAGCCGATAGCCGAGGAGCCGAGCTTTGCAGGGGGGAGGGGAGCGGGCACTTGGCAAGGTCAAGCGCTTGAGCCGGGATAATGGAATCAATTCATACGAGATGAAGTTACTGCACTTTAGTTTATAAGATTAATAAAGTTCTCCTGGAGTACTTTGCACATGAAGGGGGAGGAGCTCATTGTTCCCATTTACAGCCCAAAGCAATCTCAAACAACTCCTGCAAGATATTGTTTTCCCACCAACAACCAATGCATCTCTGAGTTTGTAGTTCTCGATGCACACGGCCAAACCCTCTTTGGGCTCCCATGTTGCATCGAACTCGACCAAAACAACGACCTGAGTGCCGGTGGTCCACCCCGCCTGTGACCGCGGTGAACCGTCCCGGTGAAGCAACTCAGATTCACGTTTCTCCCTGAGCTTCGCGGACTCGCAAAGCGTCGGTCGCCACTCCGAGGGTGTATGGTTGGCGCAGCACATCCCAGGCATAGTGCGTAAAACAATTTTTTTTTACAATTTTATTTATCTTACCAGGAAAGGCCCACTGAGCTACAGAGCTATTTTCAGAAGCGAACTGGCCACAAATGGTAGCCCAAACAAAGTGGCTTATCGCGGGCAAATTTATCGCAGTGTGGAGGGGAGGACCCGGGGAGAGACACGCAAACTCCCCAAACATACTGGCGTCAGGGTCAGGATCAAACCCACGACCTCCTGTATACCAGGCGAGGTCGTCAACATCTTGCCACCAGTTCTCCGTCAGCCTTGCAAGCGCTCAGCCAGCCATGAGCAGCATGTGCCCAGTGTGGGAGCGCGGGTGGCATGGGCCCTGGTGCAAGGAGATGAATGCCACTGCCCCCCCCCCCGCCCCGCCCAGTGCTAGGCCCCCTACGAACATTGGGCCCGTGTGCATTTATTTATTTATTTGCCACCTTGCACAAGATTGCATTTGGTCTTGACAAATCTGCAGGAATTTCATGTATGAGCGCAATTTGTACTTCCACGCTTTTATTTATATTTGCATGTTTATTTTTACTTATTTGTGACTTGTTGAACTTTTTTTCTATCTCGCTCTTGTACCCTTTATTATTTATTTATTCATTGTTGTTGTTATTGTAACCTGCTGACCCGGCCCTACCAGAGATCGGTGGAGAAGATCTTCACAGCTCATTGGATTCCCCCAGCCCTGAACCCACGGTCGACAACCACCGTGGACTTTCTCCACAAAGTGGTACTAATTTTATGGACCCCCAGTGGGATGATGTACTGGGAGGGGAGGGTCAACCACACCCCCCGAACCAGGATTTGAACTTGCAACCTTCCGATCGCGAGCTCCTCGCTCGACCACTGAGCCACCCACCCAGGTGGACGTGTTATTGGGGATCTGCTCTTCGTATTCGTTTTCTGGCCTTAGGGCCTTGTATGCAACAACTGTGATCAAAACTAAAACATGTACACATTTCAAATTGTCAACACGTGAATACACTCGGTGTGCACACACGCACACAAAATAACATACACAGACCTCTCTAGCCTTATATTCTGTTGGGGTAAGTTCTGTTAGCAAGCGCACCATCTACACCGGTACAGTACATGAGAGAGTGTAATCCTTCATCCAGCAGTGGATGGACAAAGGCCCGCAAATTATGACCGCCACAGTAATTATTATAATTGTATTCAGCAACACATTCTCGTTGCCGCGGGCATATTTTTCGGGCCGATGTGAAATATGCCTCGCGTAATATTTGAGCAACGCTATTAGCGGGTTGGAAATAATACACCACGACTGCAGTAACAAAATCAATACATCAGAGCAGAGTTTTTTTTCCCTTCCCCTTCTTTGCTCTGAGGAGGTCGGGGCGGCAGGAAATGGGAGGGAGGGACTTGGAGGGCGGCGGTGTGGTTTTTTGTTTTTATACCTTTCGGCGGGAATCTGCATAGCCAGACTCCCCTTGGTTCTGGCGAAAAAGAGTGCAACGCTTTACCGTCGCTGGGCACGGCGCGAGTTGACGGGCGAGCGAGTGGGCGGGTGATCAGGCGAGCGGGTGGGTGAGCAGGTGGGTGGGTGAGCGAGTGAGCAGGTGGGTGATCAGGCGAGCGGGTGGGTGAGCAGGTGGGTGGGTGAGCGAGCGAGCGGACGGACGAGCGAGCGGGTGGGTGGGCAGGTGGGTGGGCGAGCAGGTGGGTGGGTGGGTGAGTGGGCGGGTGGGCGGGCAGGCGAGTGGGCGGGTGAGTGGACGGGCGGGCGGGCGAGTGGGTGGGTGAGTGGGCGGGTGGGCGTATGAACGTTGTTTACTAGAACGGAGCAGAAAACACTTTCGGAGGCGTTGCGGTACTGGATACCATTTATTTTGACCCAGTTTCCTGGAAAATTTCCCCCTATGGAAAATGATATGTGTGTGTTGCGGTTAGTGTGCTGCACTACAAATCCGGCGATGCCGAGTGCAATTCCCACTCACGTCCAACATCAGTGATGATTATCTGAACCCCGTCCTGGGCCTCCATTAGGTCGACTCAGCTTCAAATGAGTACTGAGTGCGGTGTATAAACATCGCCACTCGGGAGACAAAGACGGCCGGGCCCATTGTTGGCCACCCACCACCTCGTGTGCCGTGCCGGCTTCGTAGTCGATGGCTCGCTAGCAGCATTTGCCCCAACAGTCTGTCAAGCCAATCGGCGTGATCTTTGTTGTTCGTTAGATATACATATACACGTGTGATATATCAGACACTAAGATTCTCCGTATAACCTTAACAGACTGTTGGGGCAAGTGCTGTTTGCGACTAACACCTATGAAGGCCACACGGCACACTATGCTATGGGGTTAGTGGCAAGCACCACGCCCAGTCGCCTTTGTCTCCCTAGTGGTGATGTTTACACACCGCACCGGGTGCTCACTTTCATATGCACATATACCTATGCACATTGGTTGGTTAGTGCCCTGTTCTATGAACGTGAGCAAGTGAGCACGAGCAAACGGTTGAGAGCGGGCGAGCTATAGAGCGAGCGGGTGAGTTGGGTGAGCGAGCGAGCGAGCGAGCGAGCGAGTGGGCAAGCGGGCGAGCGATCGAGGGAGTGTGCGAGCGTGCGATCGGTCGATGAGCAGGCGAGCGATCGAGCAAGTGAGTGAGCGGGTGAGCGAGCGATCGGTGGATCGTGTCGATGAGCGGGCGAGATTGTCGGTACTCACGTTGAGGAAGCCCACGTGGCTGCCCTGCTGCCCTTCAGGGCACACGAGCTGCACGAAGTCCTTGAGGGGGTCGTGGGGCGGTGGGTGCGGCGGGTGGTAGCGGATCGCCGTGTGGGCGTGCGCCGAGAACGGGTACGGCGGGTTCTGAATGATGGGCGAACTCGGGAAGTGAAGCGCTGAGGACGCGGGGTGGGAGCCACCTGTCCAGGTGCCACATGCACAAGAACATCACCATCATAATCACCATCATAATCAGCATCATCATCGTCATCATCATCATCACCATCATCGTCACCATCATCGTCACCATCATCGTCACCATCATCGTCACCACCATCATCGTCACCACCATCATCGTCACCACCATCATCGTCAGCAGTAGCCGTATCAGTGATATCGGCATTATCATAAATATCAGCATGATTATTATCATTAACAGCAGTGTCATCGTCAACAGCATCATGATGATCATCATCATCATCGTGTTGATGTCGTGGTTTTCACGGCTCAATGAGCGAGAGATGATCTTAAAAGCTGCTCTTTCTGCATAGCCGCGGCGAGCGCTGCTCCTTTCTCCTTTGCGACCCACGCTGGGGGCATCTTCTACTGCCTGAGGACGCCTCCTCTGCCTGAGGATCTTTGTCTACGCGTATTTGCACGTGCGCGCATGAGTGTGGATGGACATATGCAAGATGTGTGCGTGCGTAACGCACCCCTGGTATGTCCTGGTGGTACTGAGCTTGGGGTGTGCATGCGTTTGCTAAAGACCCCCGCCCCCTTCAAGGTGCACCTATCCTGGCACGAGTTCCGTGGCGACGTCGCTGCCACTTAGTGGCGAACGGCGGTTGTTGTTGTTGGGAGGAGGGAGCGGTGGCACAGTGGTTACGCCACTTTGCTTTGAACCTGGTGACCAAAGTCCTATTCCCAACCATGGCTAACACTGGTTGCCAAATAGAACCTGTCCTGGGCCTCCTCTAAGTTGGCTTAGCCATGAATGAGAGAACCTGATGCTGTGAAAACATCGGCGTTCAGAGAGACAGACGGGGCCAGACGAGCTATTGGAAACACCGCCACCCCCTTTGTGTCTACGTGTGTAGGCTGAACTTCCTTCACCACCGTACGTAGCCAACCGCGTTAATCGGAGGTGCGGGGGAAGGACAACGCGCTAAACACAAAGAGCAGTTCTAAAGAAATGAGTTTTCAATCTCGATGATTTAAAAGTGCATGAGGAGCTCCAGAGCTCCGGCGGCTTCCTAATATCGGAAGGAAGAACATTCCAGACGGCCGCAGGAGCGCATGTGAAGGCGCACGATGCTGTGATCGTCTTTGGTTAACCTTGATCGTTTTGTGTGCGTCTGTGCAGGCCTTCATAGGTGCTCGCTGACAAACACCCTTATTAACAGTCTATGCGACTAAAAGGGGGAATCTTTATCCTGGCAACAGCCCATTGAAAATTCATTGCCTTTTATAATGGATTTTGGTGAGGAAGTCATGCAGGGATAGTTAATATTTAGTTTCTGGAACCCGTCCAATGCTGGATTTGGATTATCTTGCACACCAGTGGCGGTTCATAGCTCCAGGTGGAGGAGGCAACAGAGTCCGCCTCGGGTTTTCCAGTCTCACGTGAAAGGTGGATTCATCCAACAGCACTTTCTCGCATAGAGACGCAAAGACTCGTAGACTCACAGAGACCCATAAACTCACGCAGAGACCCTTAAACTCTCACAGAGACCCATAGACTCACGCGGAGACCCTAAAACTCTCACAGAGACCCATAGACTCACGCGGAGACCCTTAAACTCTCACAGAGACCCATAGACTCACGCGGAGACCCTTAAACTCTCACAGAGACCCATAGACTCACAGCAAGATCAACAGGCTCACAGAGACACATAGACTCACACAGATACACATAGACTCACACAGAGACCCAGAGCTTCACACAGAGATCTATAGACTCACACAGATACCCATAGGCTATCACATAGACCCATACACTCACACATAGACCCATAGACTCACACAGAGATCCACAGACTCACACAGATGGGCTCACATAGACAGCCACCACCGCCGCCACACGCTGCCATTGTGGCCCAATTGTCAATGCGTCCACCTGCAGCGCGCATTACCACCCGGGAGTGGAAAACCCCTGAATGTGCAGCGACGAGCATGCCGATTGCGTGGAGGGAGCAAGCTGGCCAGGTGGCACCGCAGTTGGGGCGCTTGACTCAAAATTACAAACGACGATTTGGTTAGCAACACTTAGAACCGCAATGATAAACTGATGCGAGCACAGGCACCTTTGACAAATGCAAAGATCTCCCCGTACAGCCTTGAACAAACCATGGGCAAGTGCTGCTAGCGAGAACCTACTAAGGCCAGCACCACGCCCGGCCGCCTTTGTCTCCCTTGTGGCGATGTTTACACACACCGCACCAGGTACTCATTTGATGCCGATTCGACCTAGGGGAGGCCCAGGACTCGTTCAGATAATCGTCGCTGGTGTTGGCCGTGAGGCGGGAATCGAACTCGGCCCGACGGATTCGTAGCGCAGCGCTCCAACCGCTCCACGACAAAGATCCCCCGTATAGCCTTAATAGACTGTAGGGGCAAGTGCTGTTAGCAAGCACCTATAAAGGCCGAAACGGTACACGAACGAGGGGGTGGGTGGCCAGCACCACGCCCGACCGCCTTTGTCTCCCCAGTGGCGATGTTTACACACCGCACCAGGTACTCATTTAAGGCTGAGTCGACCTAGGGGAGGCCCAGGACCGGTTCAGATAATCGTCACTGGAGTTGGCCGTGAGCGGGAATGGAACCCGGGTCGCCAGGTTCGTAGCGCAGCGCGCTAACCGCTCCACGACACACACTTCCCCACGCACGCGCACGTACGCACGCGAGCGCGCAACCACTCACCAGACTCCACGTCGTTGTGCCAGCCGCTCGACTGGCTGCTGCTCGCAGGCGACCGGTTGTAGAAGCCTTCCTCGGGGCTGTCCTCGTCCAGGGACGTGCTCGACTTGTGCCTCTTGCTCCTGCGCGCGCACGCGTCCGGGAGGAGCGTCGCGTCACCGCTTGCGACCGCGAGCCACGCCGCCGTCGCGAGGCCCCGCGGCCGGCCTCGCATCCTCCTCAAGGAGGCCGCGTCTAGCCTGTGGAGCGGCGCTCGCGCTTTACGCCGGCGAATCCCGTGTCGCGACGGAACGTCGCGGGGCCCGGTCGTTCGTCTACTCTTTCTCCTTCCTTATCAAGAGCTTCGGTGAGAGCGGCTTCACCCTCCCGCGCCCCCCCCCTGCCCCCGCTGACGATATCCCCAGGCCAGAGCGTTCGCCCCTTTCTCCGAACCGTTCCACTTAAGACTCCTCTCCTCCCGATCCTGCTGTGGAACCTCCACGTGTCTGTTTCATTGCCTCCACTCGACAGCATCTCAAGACGTTCCAGTTTCACGTCGCTTCTTCAATGCCCCGCTCATCTGTTGCTTTATCAGCTGCCCACTGCCCCCCCCACTCCCACCTCAATCGCTTGTAGAACGAGTGCTGTTCCCCCGATGCCAATTGCAGCTTTGATCACCTCCGAGGGTCTATCGGCCTTCATCTATTGGGACACTTCTCATCCAGATAGCCCAACTGAGCCGGGTGCGACAGCCGTTGTCTCCATCCAACGGCGACGAATTGAGAATTTGGCAAGGACAGTGTTCATCCCTAGCTCCGACAGCAAAATTATCAAACGGAATAATAAGATTTGGGTGTAAAACCCACCACCATCGCGGTCGCTGCCTACCACCTACATTAACATTAGCTGCCCCGCCCATGCTGCTGACACACTTGGGCTACGCCCATCTCTAGACCTTTATAAACAGTTTGCCTTTAGAGGCTAACCCCCTTTTCCTGATAACGACCGCTTGTGTTGCGATCGAAACGTCGTGGTTTTTTGTTATTTTCTTTTCACCTATCTACGTGAATTTACCGAAAGCCCCAGAGAATATGAATTCCTGCAGTCTCGAAAGCTTTAAGTCGGGAATAATAATAGCAAATCAATAACGATGCAAAAATCAGCGAAAAACACAGAAAGAGAACGACATTTCGTAGGCGACCATGAGCTTCGGCGAAAAAAATGCTCTGTTCTGTCAGTGTGGAAGATATATTACGCACGCATCTGGAACGTACATCGTTGTGTCCCACGTGTAACAAGGCTTGTGCCTTGAACTTGGTCAACCGAGTAGTGCAGGGGACAGAATTGGGCAGAAGAGAGAATTGGACAGAACACAGTGGCACTTTGGTTTTTTTTTTCTCTTCCCCACCACCACCGCCACCGCCGCCGCCGCCGCCGCCGCCCCCTCCCACCCCACCCAGGTCTCGGGCGATTATGGCGTGCAGGTGGACTAATGGACGACTGGACGGAGACGCGCGTCGATGAGGCACCCTGCCTGGGAGCTCCCTCCTCCTGCCCATATCTCTCTCTCTGTCTGCACATAACAAATAAGTAAGTAAACATGCTTAGATTTTTGTTAGCACATCCCATCCGCCGCATGGCCTTTTGGGAGCATTTTTTTCCTTATTATTTTGTTTGCAGAAGCAGCAGCAATGGTTTATTACGAGAAAACTCTGGACCGGCTTCTAAATTCAGTGTCGGGTCATCCTCGTAGCAGCAGCGGCTTTAGGCTAGCCATCAAACAAGGACGATCACCGCATCGTTATCAGGTGCGCGCTTCTGCGGCCGCCTGGAACGCTCTTTCTTTCCGATATTACGGAAGCCACAGGAGGTATGCGCTACTAAATCTACATTGAAAACTAATTTATCTAGAACGACTTTTTGTGTTTCGTTTATTGTCCTTCCTCCGCACCTCCGATTAGCACAGTTGGATACGTACGGTGCGAAAGAAGTTCAACATACACACGTACAGTGTCTCATCTTGCTTGCTTGAACTAACAGTTCTCCTGGCAAGATACACGGACTATATGCGCAAGCCTGATGGAGAGAGCGATGGTGATACTGATGAAGTCACTGCCTTCACATGCCACTTCATTAATCCACATGCACGCCTCACTTGAGACTGAAAGCCTCCAAGGCGGAGGTTTTGTAGCCACCTCAAACCTCATGCCAATTATTTTCCAAATTGAAAGCCTCGCCGAGTCTCAAGACTCCTTTCTCAGCAGGGTCCTGCATTAAGTTTGCTTTGGCCAATTTGACGAATGAATGTTTAGATTTGACGTGGGAGAAAAGCAGAGCACCCAGAGAGCGAATGGCACTCAACACCCTGCACAGATAGATGCAATCCAGAATCAGAATATTGTATTCATGCTGGGGGAATCCGACGAGCTATGAAGCTCTATTTCACAGACGTCCAGTAGGGGGAACGGGGTCAGAACGTCACAACAACAAGCAATATAAAAACACATGGGAGCAGGGCACGGACGGACTCAATTCAGCCAGTGGACCAAATCTACCCGCAGACCAAATTTCTACGGCATCCCTACAACCGGCCCCGTAGCGTTAGCGGGGCTGGAGGGGGGCTACTGGAGGGGGCTGCCCCCCCCTTCAAAAAGACGTACGGCAGAGGTCGCAATCGGGTACCCGATACCCGTACCCTACCCGATACCCGGCCACCCGTACCCGACCGGGTACGGGTACCCGTTTGCGACCCTGGTGCGGCCGGGTACGCCGTGAGTCACTGGTGAGTCACCGTTTGTCACTCATTTCCCAACGTCTTGTCTCTTCTCACAATTCAAGCTCCTAGAATCAACCCACCCGCGCCTGCAACGTGGCTTCATCCCAGAGGTCGCAATCGGGTACCCGATACCCGTACCCTACCCGTACCTGGCCGGGTACGGGTAGGGTATGGGTACTGGCCGGGTACGGGTACGGGTACCCGTTTGCGACTCTGGTGCGGCTGGGTACGGGTAAGGAATCAAAACCCGTTTGCGACCTCTGACGTACGGTCAAACAATGTCGCCACAAACAATGTCGGGCGCCCCCGTTCTTTCCGCATCTAAAACTGGAGGGGGGGGGGGCGAAGGCCTTGGAGCAGAATACACGACGGACGCATCACACGGGTCGCTCCGGCAGCCTCAACCTTGTTGCCACGAGGTGACGCTGAATGGATGGGGCGGGGGGTCGGCGGGGGCGGGGGTGTTAAAGGAGGTGGGAGGAGTAGCGGATGGAGGGCGAGGAAGCTGAAGATGATGGAGGAGCAGCAGGAGATGGTGGAGTGGGAGGGGGGAGGGAGCAGTGAGGAGAAGGTGGAAGCAGCAGTTGGGGAGAAGGGAAAGAAGGAAGAATAGGGATGAAGGAGATGATAATGAGGGGGAGGGAGGTCGGGCGAGGAGGGGGGGGAGCGGGTGGAGGATGAGGTGGAGCAGGAGGAGGATGAGGATGACGGGGTGGTCCACTCACCCGGCAGAAGAAGTGCTGGGCAGAGACCTCCTCATGGCGGCGCCGGGGCTCATGCTGTAGTAGGACTGGCTCTCCATTTCCACGGGGAAATTGGGACCGGTTCCGCTCGCGATCGGCGCTGTCGGAGCAAACATCGTGAGAGCGCTCGCCTCGCGGTCAGTGCGGCCCAGAGGGCTCGAGTTCAAATCCGGGTCAGGGAGAGTATTCCAGGATTTATACACAACGGAGAGTACAATCATCCGACCTCGCTGGGGACCGGGGAACAGGCGGTGGACGCAAAAAGATCGGATGCGAGGACATTGACGATGCATTGTGCCAGAAACATTTCGCAATTTTACTTTCAACATTTCATCATAAATTAAGTTTATTTGGTGATAGCTTTCACGACTGAAGGGGTGTGTCTGGTACTCAACAGCTATTAAATAGTGTAACTATTCATATGCCGATTTAAATAACTGCAATGTAATTCTCATCACACCTCGCGGTGTTCAGTGCAGGGTCCCACTCCTGATCATCCACTCTATTTCTCTGGCCTCTCTATTCATCAGCTATGAAGAAGAACCATTGTCCAAAACGTTGACGGGTTTATATATATATGTTTTCCTTTGCAAGTGTTACCGATGAATGCGTCGAGCGTGTTGTTGTTAATTGTGCTTGTGCACCACTGCCAACACACAGCAGCAGCAACAACATTACCAAATCATTTATAGAGCACCACCCACGCCTCATGTGAGACAGCAGATGTCCCGGCCTGGCTTATGCAAGTTAATTATGTTCAGAGATTACAACCAAAGCCCGGTTTTACTCGTACATTTTTAAAATGTTGCACGCATTTCATAGCCAGTTGCATTTGTTCTTGGATTCACATCGGGTTTTTTTTTGTCTCTTCCCCCCTCCAAATGCCTCCCTGGCAAGCGAGTGATGTTTGGCGATGTTTTACTGTTGTTGTTGTTGTTATCCAAGTGCCCTAACCTGGCATTCAATAAAGGATTCGAATTAATAAACAAGCGTGCGTCGCGGACACAATGCTAAATCGGTGGCGTCGCGTGGTGACTTGTTGGCGGGCCGAGTCGGCGGTCGGGAACGATGCAGGCGACGGACATGAAAGTGGTGACGGGAATGCCGGCCCCCGCAGGATCACAGTCGTTCGCGTGCGGCAGTGAGATGAGGTTGTGGCATCACCACGTCATGAGAAAGCATGTACCAGCAGTGAATAGACCACGGCTGATGATGACGACGATGATGATGATGACGATGATTAAATACGTGCACGAACGAAAAGAATTTCGATTTAAAGCTTTCGTGACTGCAGGGATTCATCTTCTTGTTTCTTTCGGTAAAGTCACGTAGAAGGGAAGTAATAAAATAATAAAAATAAAACATAATAAAACAATTCTCACGACGTTTCGGCTACAACGCAAGCAGCCGTCCTCAGGTGAAGAATGAGACACTACCAAACTAGGAGCTTATATATAAGCTGCATTGGGGGTTGAAGAGCGCCTTAACAAAAAGAATGTGCATGTGAAGAGGGATTTAGCATATTCATGGAAAATGCGTAGGCGTTGGGCGGGGGGGTGTCAAAGTCATATTATGCCCATGCATTATGCAGGATCAGCAGCAACCAAGGGGGGTGCAGGGATTAGCAGTAACAAAGGAAAGGAATGTTAATGATATGTAGCTGCAGTTACTCAACAACCACGTAGAAAACTAAAGTATAAACTACATAAAAAACTAAAGTATTAACTGCATCGCACCATCAGTATACTTACTATACTCTATAATAAGCTGAGTTACTAACAGCAAGTAATACATTACAATTTTACCTCGTAAAAATTCTATAATATGCTTCCATCTAAACCTTATTCTCTTACATCACACGAGCATATACCGTACTATATACTGCCATAGATAAACCCAACATTAAATTATATACTGTATTGCTGTAAACCAACCTATATCTTATACATTTAATATCACACTATGTATTATTCTACACACCCTAATGTGTATCGAAATGGTTTATTACGTCCTTCCAACATTACCCTACATTGCTGGGGTCACAAAAAAGATCTCCAAAATCCTGATTAAACACAAGATCCAGGTCCGATTCAACACAGTACATAAAATCCGTGATCTGGTACCGTCTGTAAAAGATGTGGTTCCAGACATACAGTACCCTGGCGTCTACAAACTAAGTTGCCTCTGTGGTAGCAGTTACATTGGGGAAACCAAACGACATGTCTCGGACCGCATCCGTGAACATAAAGCTGACCTGAAACACGGTAGGACTAACACCTCAGCCGTGGCAGATCACTGTTACAACTCAGTGGGCTCACATGATATTGACTTCTCCAAGACAGAGGTTCTCTGCAAGCCATCTGGCTATCATGAGAGATTCGTTCATGAGGCGATCCACATATACAAACACAGAGACAACTTTAACCGAGAAGATGGATTCTGGCTCAGCAATCATTGGAAGGACGTAATAAACCATTTCGATACACATTAGGGTGTGTAGAATAATACATAGTGTGATATTAAATGTATAAGATATAGGTTGGTTTACAGCAATACAGTATATAATTTAATGTTGGGTTTATCTATGGCAGTATATAGTACGGTATATGCTCGTGTGATGTAAGAGAATAAGGTTTAGATGGAAGCATATTATAGAATTTTTACGAGGTAAAATTGTAATGTATTACTTGCTGTTAGTAACTCAGCTTATTATAGAGTATAGTAAGTATACTGATGGTGCGATGCAGTTTATACTTTAGTTTTTTATGTAGTTTATACTTTAGTTTTCTACGTGGTTGTTGAGTAACTGCAGCTACATATCATTAACATTCCTTTCCTTTGTTACTGCTAATCCCTGCACCCCCCTTGGTTGCTGCTGATCCTGCATAATGCATGGGCATAATATGACTTTGACACCCCCCCGCCCAACGCCTACGCATTTTCCATGAATATGCTAAATCCCTCTTCACATGCACATTCTTTTTGTTAAGGCGCTCTTCAACCCCCAATGCAGCTTATATATAAGCTCCTAGTTTGGTAGTGTCTCATTCTTCACCTGAGGACGGCTGCTTGCGTTGTAGCCGAAACGTCGTGAGAATTGTTTTATTATGTTTTATTTTTATTATTTTATTACTTCCCTTCTACGTGACTTTACCGAAAGAAACAAGAAGATGAACGAAAAGAAGTACAGAAAACTGAACGCGGACTTGCTCGCGCACACAAGCTATGAGAGGCGCCGAGCTGAGACTCGCCGTTCCACCAACAAAACTAAGGACGGACGGATGGAGCGAGTCGTGAAAATGATGCGGCCGTCGTACTCACTTCTCGACACCCGCACCAGCTCTGTGACGCTGAAGACTCCGGAGGTTACGAAGATATCCTGGAAGCTGAGGTGTCCTGCAGGTGACAGGCGAAGACACAGGCCTCAATCAATGACTCGCTCGCGAGCACGCGGCCGTGCCTTGCCAGCGGCGTGGCCCTGTTTGGCAACGCTTCGCTGCGGAGGGCGATTAGGGGAGGGGCGGCGGGGGGGGGGTTGGGGTGGTCAACGCTGAGCGTGGGCCCTGGCAGCTGCGTCGGCCGGTGCCGCATTTGTACCGCGACACCTTGGGCCGCCCTGTGGATGTGGATTCCGTGGCGACCGGAGTGGGTGCCACGGTGGCTAGGAGATGTTAACCGCCTCGCCTGGTACGCAGGAGGTCGTGGATTCCATCCCGACCCTGATGCCTGCTGCTGTATATTTGGAGTTTGCGTGTCTCTCTCTCATCATCATCACGGTGGCTAGGAGATGTTAACCGCCTCGCCTGGTACGCAGGAGGTTGTGGATTCCATCCTGACTCTAACACCTGCTGCATATCTGGAGTTTGCGTGTCTCTCTCTCATCATCATCACGGTGGCTAGGAGATGTTAACCGCCTTGCCTGGTACGCAGGAGGTCGTAGATTCCATCCCGACCCTGACGCATGCTGCTGTATATTTGGAGTTTGCGTGTCTCTCTCTCATCATCATCACGGTGGCTAGGAGATGTTAACCACCTCGCCTGGTACGCAGGAGGTCGTGGATTCCATCCCGACCCTGATGCCTGCTGCTGTATATTTGGAGTTTGCGTGTCTCTCTCTCATCATCATCACGGTGGCTAGGAGATGTTAACCGCCTCGCCTGGTACGCAGGAGGTCGTGGATTCCATCCTGACTCTAACACCTGCTGCATATCTGGAGTTTGCGTGTCTCTCTCTCATCATCATCACGGTGGCTAGGAGATGTTAACCGCCTTTCCTGGTACGCAGGAGGTCGTAGATTCCATCCCGACCCTGACGCATGCTGCTGTATATTTGGAGTTTGCGTGTCTCTCTCTCATCATCATCACGGTGGCTAGGAGATGTTAACCACCTCGCCTGGTACGCAGGAGGTCGTGGATTCCATCCCGACCCTGATGCCTGCTGCTGTATATTTGGAGTTTGCGTGTCTCTCTCTCATCATCATCACGGTGGCTAGGAGATGTTAACCGCCTCGCCTGGTACGCAGGAGGTCGTGGATTCCATCCTGACTCTAACACCTGCTGCATATCTGGAGTTTGCGTGTCTCTCTCTCATCATCATCACGGTGGCTAGGAGATGTTAACCGCCTTGCCTGGTACGCAGGAGGTCGTAGATTCCATCCCGACCCTGACGCATGCTGCTGTATATTTGGAGTTTGCGTGTCTCTCTCTCATCATCATCACGGTGGCTAGGAGATGTTAACCACCTCGCTTGGTACGCAGGAGGTCGTGGATTCCATCCCGACCCTGATGCCTGCTGCTGTATATTTGGAGTTTGCGTGTCTCTCTCTCATCATCATCACGGTGGCTAGGAGATGTTAACCGCCTCGCCTGGTACGCAGGAGGTCGTGGATTCCATCCCGACCCTGACGCCTGCTGCTGTATATTTGGAGTTTGCGTGTCTCTCTCCCCGTGGTTGCAAGGTTTTTTTCCCTCCACATTTGTAAACGCGTGTTTAGAGTATTTGGCTGCTGTAAATTTCCACGCGATAAGCAACTTCGTTGGCTATCATGTGGCCAGGCCACTTCTGAAAAAGAGCTACATAGCTCCGCGAGCCTTGCCGGGTAAAACAAGAAAAAGTTTAGTTTTTCGTCAGTGTCCAGACACCTTGGGCCGGCTGTGAATGTGAATTCCACGGCCACCGGATATTAACAAATCGGTCACGGCGCACGTGGAGCCGTTCCCGATGTCAGCGCTAATGCTGAGGAGTTGTCCTGGTTTTTCCCAGGAACGTCGCCCTCATTCCTTAAAAGCAGCTGTCCCGGGAACAATCTGTAAGGCGTCAGGGTCGGGGTCAAACCCACAATTTCCCTCTATACCAAGCGAGGTAGTTAACATCTCGCCACCAGTGGTGCCCCCAACTGTTTCGTCTTATCCACCAGGCTGTGTTCAACCACCACGATGCAGGTCAAAACTCTTCTAATTTCGCTTCTTCCCTTCGTACTGCTCCCACTTTGGAATTCCTTCTCATTGTCACTTTTCCCAAGTTCTGAGCATAAACTTGCTCAATTCAAGAAACATATTCACTCTCTGTCGGTTACTACTTCAAGAGTGCCGTTTGTTGCTGGCCTGCTGGGAAATTTGGACCTTTGAGTCTGTGTACAGCAACTGTATATACTGGGTTGACCAAAAGTCAGGGTAGATAGGGTTATTTAATTTGTGTGTCTGTAGGCCTCTGTGTGTGTCCGTGGGTCTCTGTGCGTGTCTGTGGGTCTCTCTGCATGTCCGTGGGTCTTTGTACGTGTCTGTGGGTCGCTGTGTGTGTCTGTAGGTCTCTCTGCATGTCCGTGGGTCTTTGTGCGTGTCTGCGGGTCTCTGTGCGGGGTCTATTCATGAGTAAAAAAAGAGGCGAATCCTTGATTCCTTCTGGAACGCAGTCACGGGGGTTCAAATTTCCATGTTCCGTGGGGCGTACCGCCAGCCCCATTCCCACCCGGTGCCCACGATGCGCCAGTAGTTTGCGCCGTGGAGGTGGCGGCCTTCTCCCAATGGGCGCGACGTCTCGCGCGGGTGACGACTCGCGTAGAGGCCACGTGCCGACTCCAAAAAATAAAAAATCGGCGTTTGCAAAAAAAAAAGCCAGAGAGCGAGTTCGGGGAGGGGTGGGGGGGGAGGGGTGGAGGGAGAGGGGTGGGGGGGGGTGCTCGGAGCCAGACTTGGCCATGAACGTTATGTCGTTCTTATGTAATGGGCGCTGGAATAAAAAAAAAACGAAGGTTTTTTTTTTGCTGTACACAGCTATCGTCGGTCATGACCTCCAGAGTTTTAGAGGAATGCTAATTAATAATACACGCTACCAACGGCAAACGATTGCGGAGAGTAACGGGCGCGCAACGCTCCGCGTTTACACGGGGCTCTAAATGAGCGTTGGGATTTTTTGAGCGAGGGATTTTGGTTCACCAACCACAAAAACAACAACAACCGCCGCCGCCACCACCGTCATCATCATCACGACCGCCACAACAACCACAACTGCAATCACCGTGTTCCCTTACCACCACGGTCGTGACCACCACCACTACCGCCACAGATACCACCATCATCGTGACCACTCACCCACGACCACCATCTTCCCAACCACCCACCGCCACAACCACCACCAGCAGCACCACTGTCACCTTCACTAGAACAACAACCGCTACCGCCACATCTAATTTCACACCACCATGATCACCGCCACCACCACCATCATCACCATTTGCAACACTTCCACCATCATGATCAGTTATCACCATTTGCCATATCCACCACACACCACCAGCCACTACTGCCACCACAGTCATCACCACAGCCTCCACCATGGTGACCTCCACCACAATCCACTAACCAGCAACGACACCACAAAGACAAAGATCCCCCATAAAGCCTTAACAGACTGTTGGGGCAAGTACTGTTAGTGAGCACCTACGAAGGCCGGCACGGCACCACGCCTGGCCGCCTTTGCTTCCCCAGTGGCGATGTTTACACATCGTACCAGGATTTGAGGCCAAGTCGACCTACAGGAGGCCCAGGAGCGATTTAAATAATCGTCAATGGTGTTGATGGCCGTGAGCGGGAATTGAACTTGGGTCGCCGGGTTTGTAGCGTAGCGTGGTAAGCGTTGCACTATGGTCCCCCACCTACACCACCCACCACCGTCACCATCACAAACACCACCACCGTCACCATCACAAGCACCACCACCGTCACCATCACAAGCACCACCACCATCACAAACACCACCACAATCACCATCACAAACACCACCACCGTCACCATCACAAGTACTACCACCATCACAAGTACCACCACCACCACCATCACAAACACCACCACCGTCACCATCACAAGCACCACCACCGTCACCATCACAAGCACCACCACCATCACAAACACCACCACAATCACCATCACAAACACCACCACCGTCACCATCACAAGTACTACCACCATCACAAGTACCACCACCACCACCATCACAAACACCACCACCGTCACCATCACAAGTACTACCACCATCACAAGTACCACCACCACCACCATCACAAACACCACCACCGTCACCATCACAAGCACCACCACCGTCACCATCACAAGCACCACCACCGTCACCATCACAAGCACCACCACCGTCACCATCACAAACACCACCACCGTCACCATCACAAGCACCACCACCGTCACCATCACAAGCACCACCACCATCACAAACACCACCACAATCACCATCACAAACACCACCACCGTCACCATCACAAGTACTACCACCATCACAAGTACCACCACCGTCACCATCACAAACACCACCACCGTCACCATCACAAGCACCACCACCGTCACCATCACAAGCACCACCACCATCACAAACACCACCACAATCACCATCACAAACACCACCACCGTCACCATCACAAGTACTACCACCGTCACAAGTACCACCACCACCACCATCACAAACACCACCACCGTCACCATCACAAGCACCACCACCGTCACAAGTACCACCACCACCACCATCACAAACACCACCACCGTCACCATCACAAGTACTACCACCATCACAAGTACCACCACCACCACCATCACAAACACCACCACCGTCACCATCACAAGTACTACCACCATCACAAGTACCACCACCACCACCATCACAAACACCACCACCGTCACCATCACAAACACCACCACCGTCACCATCACAAGCACCACCACCATCACAAACACCACCACAATCACCATCACAAACACCACCACCGTCACCATCACAAGTACTACCACCATCACAAGTACCACCACCACCACCATCACAAACACCACCACTACCACCATCACAAACACCACCACCGTCACCATCACAAACACCACCACCGTCACCATCACAAACACCACCACCGTCACCATCACAAGCACCACCACCATCACAAACACCACCACAATCACCATCACAAACACCACCAACGTCACCATCACAAGTACTACCACCATCACAAGTACCACCACCATCACAAACACCACCACCACCACCATCACAAACACCACCACCGTCACCATCACAAACACCACCACCGTCACCATCACAAGCACCACCACCGTCACCATCACAAGCACCACCACCATCACAAACACCACCACAATCACCATCACAAACACCACCACCGTCACCATCACAAGCACCACCACCATCACAAACACCACCACAATCACCATCACAAACACCACCACCGTCACCATCACAAGCACCACCACCGTCACCATCACAAGCACCACCACCATCACAAGTACCACCACCACCACCATCACAAACACCACCACCGTCACCATCACAAGCACCACCACCATCACAAACACCACCACAGTCACCATCACAAGCACCACCACCGTCACCATCACAAGCACCACCACCATCACAAGTACCACCACCACCACCATCACAAGCACCACCACCGTCACCGCCACACTCTTGCTCATCTTGCGCGTGCTCTTTTACCGTTTTCCGATTTGATCTCAGCTTCGCTGGCAGACATGTTCTCGTGACTCGGACTGCCCGTCTGGCCTCCTTCTGCCGATAGATGACGGGGAAAGACAGACGCGCATGCACGCACGCACAGAGGGGGAAACAAGGGGAGATAAACACACGCAGATTAGACACCCTGCATTTAGAACACAAACCACACACTTTGTTTTTTTGCTTTTGAAACAATTCGACACGTTGCTCACGCGACGATAAATCTGATGAGGTTTGTGGAATGCCACGAGGCAGATAATCCGTTGGAATCTCGCAGAACAGTGTGAGCCTTCATGTTAGAAAGCGGTTCAAGGAAGTGGATATTACAGAGCTACCTGCCAGATGCCTTCAAGGGACACGTCATTAAGGCAGTAGAGGGCAGCACTCTCCCACCCACTCTGCCACTGGAAGCAACGTTGTTGCGTGGCAATCGAACAAACATGTTTTTTTGTATTTAAATTTAATTAAGATTTAGAATGTTTGTATAATTACATATGTATTTTGCTAAGATTTGTTTGTGCGTGTGTGTGGTTTTGTGAGACTGGTTCTTGCCACAATAATATGGACATTCCATGACTGACCAACAATCGTCAATTGGGATGAGCACAGAAAAGTGTTAATTTAATACTTTGAGACATTTTTTTGTATTTGTTTCGTAAATTTCAGTCAAACATACGTTCAACAAATACACAAATATCCTGTAAGTCAAATATTTGGCCTAGGCCCTAATCTTCGACCCTGGAGAGTGGAAGTGTAGTTTCAGACTCTGACCCGGGTCAAAATTGTGAATGTTAATCTCATGCGTTGAAAGAAAAATAAAGAAAATGAACAAAAAAAGTTGTAAAGTAAGACGGCTGTAGGCCAAGGGTTTTTTTTCATACGGGGCTGTTACGCCTTGCTAAAATATACAGTGTAAACAGGATTTTTTTTCTGAGTAAGCAGCCGCCCCCAGCGCTCGGCGGAAAATATGAGCATTTAGCGGGACTCAATAAAGTCAGTGTGCTCGCGACGAACAAGCGGCTACTTTAAGGTTTCTCTGAACGCACGTGGACACACGTGTGTGCGCACACGCGAGCACGCACAAAGACGCACACATGCGCCGGGAGCACAGGTGCAGATTATTTTTTCGCAGAGGCACTGGGTTTAGAAAAGAAAAAAAAAATCACTCTGAGAAAAAAATAATAATTCAAAAGTACCGGTTCGATTAATGACTTCCTGTATAGAAAGGTGCAGATGGAGGTGTGGTGCAGCCCTTTCTACAACTGCCTGAATCAATCCCTCTGCTGTGTGCCAAAGGAATGCCTCCGATTTATTAATTTGATAAGATTTTAATGTGGCGTGGACGGCGAGAGTGGGTAGGGATGGCGATGAATTACCGCGCTAGTACGCGCGTACACGAATCCAACTCATGCCCGTTAACGCTGCAAAGCGCTAACGAGTCAAAGCTTGGCCTACACGAAACGAGCAGTCAACGAGTCGCAACGCACATTTTATTTGTTCAGGTGGCGCGAAAACGTTCTAAGTACATTTTCGTCGGCAAATTAAATTTCTGTTTGTCTGATTTGTGCGTTGTTATTCTCAGTAAAGACTTCGTTTTGGCTGCACCACGCATAGTGATGTTTACATTGCAACAAAAAAAAACCTAAATAAAGCAAGACTAATAATCATCATGAGAATAGTTTTTATTATTAATTCATCATCGTTGATTATTATTTATACCTCCCATGCATTGCATCTCGAGATGCCAGAGCAGAGGGAGTCCAAGTAAGCACTCGGTCGTGAAGTTGTATCCGCAGACCAAATACAATATTCAAAACCAATGCGAGCATCGACAACGTGCACAACAAACAAGATTAAACAAAACTTTAAAAAGGCAAAAAAAACTGAGCTGGAACAAACAATCCCCCCAGCGTCGACGCAATGGCTGTGGGGGGTGGCCATCATCCAGCAGCGGATCATGGCCAATGCCAATGAGAGGCACAAAAAAACATGGCTATAGGAATAATGGTGGCGGCCGGGGCTGTCCAAACGCCGGCTACCTCGGGGAGCGGTGTGGCGTGCACCAGCACTACCGCGCCCCGAGGCTCCGACCGCGCTTGCAAGCGGCTCTCCGCCAATCGAGCGGGTGGTCGAGTCGCAAGCTTACGTAAGCCCCGGCAAAGGATTCCTCGGCGAAGTCAGCCCTCGATGACTCACGGCTAACCACGAGGCCGCCGCGGCTTTCGTGCGGTGCACGGCGGTTTTGCCACTCCGCCCGGAGAGAGCTCCCGAAAGTATTTATTTTTGCTCGCAGAGACGGCGTGTGCGGAAGCTCCGGCAGGCCGAGAACCCCTCGTGCCGTCCGTCTCTAAAGGCTCGTAAAGCCTCCAGTCGACTTCTTTCGCACCGTGCGTAGCCGACCGTGCCGATCGGAGGTGGGGCGTCAGTTTGGTGAAATGCGCGAATGAAAACTAATTTCGCGTGCAAAGATCGTCACAGCCGGTTTGCCAGTCGACCCGAGTCAGTTATCTCGTGAGTCCGTCGAATCAGCAACGCCAGCCAAGTCAGCAAAATAATAATTTCGCCAAAAAGTCAGTCAGAAGGGCGATCGGTCGGTCGCCTCGTGAGATTGACAAAGAGGCAGCTATGCGGCGTTTACTCGCGTAGCCTGCGGTCAGGAGTGAAGTCTCCCTTCTGGTTTGGCGTATTTTGGAGGGAGGTGGGACGCTTAACAAGAATCTATTTTATTTTGTCGCTGAGAGTAAAATGTTACGAATGTCGCTGCTTGCGTGCGCGGCTTGAACCAAGTGGCCGCTGCTGTACGACGCGCGCAGAGACGCCGGGGGGAGATCGTCGCTGAGCGCCGTCGCACGTATAGTGTCAGCGCTGCGTTCGCACACGACGCAAAAGCCGCTCGCGTCGGCTAAAGTTTGCGCGAGTGTTACATCGAGAAGCGCGACGAAAAAAAATATGTAGGGGGAGGAAAAACCCCCCACCCCCCCAACCAAAATTCACAACGGTCTTCATAATGAAAGTGAATTAATTACGTGTACTTTATGCACAGCTGTGCCGTATGAATGCCGCCCATTCACAGCACCGGTGAAATCCCGGGGCGGTATCGCGTTGTTACTTCACGTTAGGCGAAACGTTTTTCGCCCGAGCGCAAATTTATTATTTAAGTGCCGAGCGGCGCTGGGGTTTTGGGGAGCGGAGCGGTCATCGCCGAGAGAGGGGCGGGCGGGCGCCGTTCAAGAAGTAAAAAAAATGGAAAGATGACTTGCGGAGCGTGAAAACAGGAGGGGCTGGTATTTGCGCAGTCAATACATTTGCGGAATGAAAATAAATCCCCGATGTAGCCCTTCAATCCGAATCCAAACGTGTCCGTACAGTGCGTGAAATGTAAAAAGTGCGACGACTCTGCCCGTAGAATCGGATACCCCTCGTGAGTGTCTTTTATTTTTGGTATTTGGCCTGTCACCTGGCTCCTCCCCAGCCACCTTTGTGTTTTTTCCTTTCTTCAAAAGCTCCTGTTACTTTATTAAGCCCTCGCAACGTTGCAGGTGAAGGGCGTTGGCGCTGAATTCGCGAGTTGCGTTTTGCGCTCACGCGGAGAAGAGAACGACCGAAACGAGAGAAAAGGGTTGCCGTGTAAAAACCGCGAGCGTAGAGTCACTTCGCAAATTGTCCGAATTACAATAATAATAGGAATTAGGAAAAAAAACAGTTTTTAACCTAGTAAAGAAATAAAAAAAACACTTCGACTTAAGCCCATCAGTGTTCTTTTTTTTATTTAAAGAAAGAACGCACACTACCCGCAACAGAAAACACATGCAACGCAAACACACAATCATAACAACGTTTAGCGCAAAGTGGTACTTTTTGCATTAGCATTACCACCGCCACCACCGCCCGACCCACCACTATTATTAAAGTCATCATTACTGAATTCAATTACTTTTTCCTTCCTCTTTTTAATATCGGGGGCTCAGCCACTGTGGTCTACACAAAGACAGCAGCGCGAGCTGTTTCGAGAAAGTTTTAAAAGCGCCGCACCACAAGCGTCCCCGACGTTTTGCCAAAACCTCAAACCATATTTAGAGCGAGCGCCTGCGCGAGCACCCGGGCTCTGCCCTGGTAACCCACGCGGCTCGGTGCCCAGACGCTCGTCCAAAGTCGCAACGCGCACGTCCGGTGCCACTGCACGCCGCTAACGTCGTTACACACCGGGGGGTCCCCCACACGGCCCAGGTGGCGGGGGCGATCGCCCGCCTCGCGGTGAAAATACCGCTCCCGTGCGTCTCTCGCCACGTCCGACGTTTCGCTTCACGTGCCGGATGACCGGCGGTTTTTTCGACCCCCACCCCCACCGCTGCACTCCCAGACGGGTTGGGAGGGGGGGGACGAAACGTCGAACGTCGTGCCAATTGATGCGTTGGCACAACCCCTGAGAATGCGCCGGAGGGGCCTCGCAGCGGCACAACCGCCGTGGAGCCACGCGGTCGTGAAAGGCGCCGATCGCCGCCGTTAATCGACCGCCAGCTTGCACGGAACGACGGCGCGGACTTTCCAACGGCTCTTTTTTTCTTTCAAATTACAAATAAACGTAACGCGAGTTCGTTTTATCCGTGAAATATTGCGACTGGCTGTTTTGCGTCTCCGCTCATGTTCAACGGTTAACGCGAGACAAATGAAATCTATTGTGTCGCCTGCCAGACCGCGACAGACAGAGAATGTGCGCAAAGCTGGAGCAACGTCGCGAATCGGCGTGTTAAGACATTTTTTTGCCCTGGGAAACGTGGCAAATCCAAAAAAAAATTTTTCATTAAAAATCACATCCCAGGGACGAACATGTTCATGTAAATCTCTGCTTCCAGCTGCGAACTGCGAGATGGGAGGAGGGGTGGTTCTGCAGAATTCACGCCAACTACCCGGGGACATTTATGAGATAATTTTTTAATCTATAAACCTCTAGATTGATAGAAACGTGGATTTTTTAATTATTATTATGATGAAGGAGTGCCCCTTCTAACCGATCGGCCAACGCTTCTTTTTATAGTCTCGCTTTATATATATAG